TGCCCTGCCGGCTTTTTTTCCTTCCTTCTTTTTTCTTTTTTACCCAAAATAAGCGGGACCCGGGTCCCCCGGACCTCTTCCCTAGATCCACCACTACACTGTTTCTAACTATATCAAAGAACTCTCTTACATGGGAGGAGTAGGGGGAATTTGAACAAGTTGCCTAGAGATACGTAACGTAACGTCACCCCCACGTTCCTGGGGAACAAGACTTAAGACCCTGGCATGGGAACGTGTTACGAGATCATGGTTTGTGTACATTGTAGATCAAAAACAATACCTTTAAAAGGTTTGTACATTCGGTTGAAGGGAAACAGAAAGTCTCGTATGACTCTCACGGTTCTCAGGGCATCATAGCTTGATATAATATTCAAGTGTACATGCGGTTACACAAACAGCGATGATAAACACAGTTCACCAACATGACGTTACGTATGTCAGCTAGGTAGCAAACATGTTCAAAATTAAAAGTGACCGTTCAAGAACAACTATTTATATCAATATAATTGAGCCTGGATTGTACCTAGACTGAGAAACGTCATCGAGAAGAGAAGCTGTTGCTTTATTAATAAGCCCTAACTTCTCATGACGAGCATACGATATCTTGTTCCCTTCATCCATTTTCTTCCCGCTTTCTCGTCGTTGATGTGGTGCACCACAGTTAGCCCAAGCTCAGTCGGACTACTTGGAACTCTTAAATCGATTGCGGCTTTCATGTTATACAACGAACTCTTTTTAAAGACTTTGCGTTAGCCGGTTTCACTTTAGTCCTCAGTATGATAAAATAACGCTATTAATGTAGAACTAATTGCACTCATCTTACGTAGGGTTGTTTTCGTGTCCGGCTGTCCTGTGCAATTTAGGAGCAAATTGTGTCTATTTTAGAGTTTGTAACAGTACGGGGTTATGATTTTATGTTACTGGTCGTCAGTAATATATGCCCTGGAGGTTGCCCTGAGGATGATAATACCCCATATATCAGACGATGCTAAAATAACGGATCGATATTTCTATCATAAATTAGTTTCTTGGTTTGTTTTGTTTGTTGTTGTTTTTGTTGTTGTTTTTTTTTTTACTGTTACTCTCCGTTCTATCCACAACTGAAGCAGGCGGCCTGATAGTTCAATGTATGAGAACGACAAACGTGAATTCACCGGTTTGAATTTTTTAAATACAAAGGTTTATATGGAAACGCAAGGGTTTGGTTTTAAAGCTGAAAATTGGGACGTTTTCTTTAATTAAGTCGACTCACCTCGATGTTTTGTTGTATCTGCTGTTGCCTGCCAACTTCTCAGCCGGATCCGAAGCGATTCTGTTGAGTTTTCGTCTTTCGTGCCGTTCCACTGACTAAAGACAATAACTGTTCGGTAGCAAGTTAGATCTTTCGCTACAAGCTGGTTTGGGCAGAATTGGATTATACCAAGATGTGTCTTGATTGTACATTTGGCGTTTTACCTTTTCAAGCATGTCAAGATTAGAAACAGGAATTGACAGTTGAAAACTGACAAATAAGCTATAAGTGAATTTTAGTTAGTATAGTTATAAGCTAGTGTCAGAAAAGTTTGCAAACAGTGCATGGTTGATAGCGGGGCTCTATAAGGAAGACAGAGTTTTGTGAGGAAATGTTTCTCGTGGATATATCTGGCAAAAAATTAACGATAACACGACTAAAACTAGCCAGAACGATTCTGAATACTAAACAACCGGGCCCACATTTCTAAACTCAAATTTTAGCCCAATGATGTGCACGGAAATTAAGCCCAATGTTTACTATTTCAGAAGAAAAAACGACGACAACAGCTACCATATGGGGAGGAGTAAGGAGATTTGTCTGTTGCTACCAAGGAAATCGATATTTCAGACAAGAATGCCTTAGTTAAAATGGCATGGGCGCCTACTAGTAGCTAAGAAAACCAAACGTGAACCCCAAACAATTTGGTTACGAAAACAGATCGAAACTGAGAAAACTGGACAGAGACTGTCTACAGAACTGTAGTAATCAAAAAGAGCAACGTTTCTTTGGAAGTTGCGACAATTGCAATAGTTGACAATTGCGTTGTTAAAATGCAGTAGCAAACCTGCTGGTGCTAGTAGAGCTTCGAATAACTCGATCACGCCTTGCCAATTGTATATATTTTTCCAGGAAAGAGGAAAGAAAACGTTTTGTCTGTTGATATTACGACAAACCCCTCATGAGCAGGGGGCAACCCTAAACCACGGAATCCCGAAACCGCAAAACCGCAAACCGGAATCCGGAATCCGGAAACCGTAATGATAAATTATGTCAGTGCGTCCAAAAGTAAAACTTATATGTAAGAAATCGACCTCTGAGATCGAGATACTTTAGTGTAAGGCGACTGCCGTAAAAGGACAAGACAGGACGGAATGAGTTATTTTATAAAACAAAACTAAACAGTAACTGTCGACTAAACTACGCGGATAGATAAGACAGTGTTAGAAAGCTGCCAATAATGCCCAGTAGCAATTTTCGAAGTTTTGACAGCCGGAGGTTACATGAAAGAAACGCTATATTGACAAATGGGTTATTGGTTATTAGCGACAAACAGGTAATACTTACTATGAAAGGTGTTGATACATGCACTTAGAGAACTACGCTCAGAGTTTTGGGTTGCAAAGGCAAATAAGAGGCAGGGCCAACCAATGATTTGCTTGCAGTTACCAGGGAACTGATTTTAAAGTTAACCATGCTTTAATTTACTGAGCTGAAACTTTTGCGTTTCAGAAACAGTGCATGGAGGACGGTCAGTTAAAAACAGGTCGCTTCGCCTCAAGTCGTTTCGCCCTAACTCAAAGTCGATTCGCTCCAACTCAAAGTCGATTCGCCCGAAGTTTTATTAACGCAATTTATGGAGTAGTTGGCGCCAAAATATGTTTCATTTTCTATATTTCCTTCCTCAATATTATACCTATCGAGGTGGTACACGGTGGTTTCGCCAACGTATCACTGGTTCGCCAACGACCAGTTCGCTAACGTATGAAGTCGATTTGCCAATGTCCTGGATCAGTTTGTCACCTTTGTAAGCTGACATGGGTGTTTATAGGTTGTTAGTGTCGTTTGAAATTGTTCGTTTTACTCTCCCCAAACTCTCTTTTCCCACGCGATGTTGATGATCCGCTGGTTGATCGATGGCCACAACGGACCGCAACTGCATTGCAAACAAAATGGCAGATTGTTTTGCCAATATTTTCACTGCATGCTGTGTATGGGAAGAAACCTTTTCTTCCGTGAGCCTCCCTTTTGTTACTCTTATATGTATTGGTTTGTTTCTGGTCTTCTAATTTCCTTTGCGCTAACTGCTGTGTAAAAGGTAAAGCAAGTTTTTGGACCTGCCAATCACCTATATGTTGTTTATTTATCACAATTCATGGCAAGTTCAAAAATATACATAATAATAATAATAAAACATAAGGCGCTCAAAATTTACAAACAGAAGAAATGGGGGAAAAATACGTGCAGTAACCCCATGGAGACCCCGAGTGACCTCCAAAACAAAAGAAGCCAGGGCTAGGCTTTTGTCGATTGTGCTCGTAAAACTGGTATATTACGCTCCTGAGGGTGGTAAAGGGTATTTTCGTGACTCGTGATCGGCCTTTTTTTCCCGTGAAATGTGAAATGGCTAATTTTTTCCTCGTGAATCGTGATTTCCATAGTCGCCGTGATCCGTGATTTTCCAAAACGTTCTCTTTTATTTCCCGTGAAGCGTGAAATGCCAATATTGTATTTTTCGTGAATTGTGAAAGGGCTGCTTTATTTTCCGTGAAACGTGATCTATATACCCCCTTTACCACCCTCGCTCCTAGCACTGCTCAATATTTTTGGAATTTATGCCCGAATTATACTCGTTTCTCTTTTATGCTCCTTGGATCAAAATTTTAAGCAGAATAGAGACAGAACAGAACAGGGCGAATGAAGACAAAACAAGGTATAACGCCTTTTCGAACCGGCGTTTTCTACATTTCTAAGCATCCTGGCCGGATTTTGTATTAATTTCCGCTATTTCTTGAGCAGTGCTAAATTTAGATAAAAGCTAAAAATTATGCTCGGTATTGTGCTAAAAAGTCTAGCCGGGGCGCATGGAATGCCGGTTCCTCATGAGTCGACATTCCCATCGTTCTTTGCAAGCTCGTGGACCATGCCTTGGCGGTCCGCCATTTTTCAATCGTTTCTGGTCGCTTTGGGTGGCAAACTGTAGCTTAACGGCTTATTTACTCTGCCGACTAGATTTATGTGGGTTAAAGGTAATGTTTTAGACTCGAAGTAGGGCTTGAAACGATGCAAGCAGGTGGAGACGTCGTCGGGAATGGCACCAATGAAAGACGTACAGGTTCAGACCAGAAGGTACAATGCTTGTAGATCGTTATATATATTTTGAGGTTAAATTTTCGTTGTCTGTAGCTTTATTTCGTTTCGTTTTCCACATTTAACTTGGTCTAGATTTCACCAGTGTTTTTAAAGTAGGTAAGTGTATTGCCATCTGCAACTATCAGAAATCTCTTACCTTCTTTTCAAACGCAGCTGTAGTTTTGTCTACGGCTGTGTTTTATGTTTGCTGTTTTAAGAATTGTATTCACATCAGAATGATGATATGGTCTTAGACTCACTGTATTTAAAACCGAAAACCTACCTCTCTATTTCCACGAGGAACTGAAGGCTTTAGTGATTGAATTTTTTTCTTGAATAAGCACGTGCTGTCGTAAAGTGCCCCTTCTGTCCCTAGCTTCTGTTTTAATTTTAAGCCTTGTCTGGATAACGCTTGAGTGAAATAATGTAGTAAATCACGAGGTTGGAAATTGATAATTTTGATAAAAATTGATTGAAATCGAGAATTTTCAATGCTAATTGATGGATTAGTAATAGTAACAGGACTGAGTACGAGTAGAATGGCTGTGAAGTGAAAGTGTGATCACTGTCTGTACAAGAAATGGTAAATTATTTGTAGGGCCTCATAATAAATCAGTCAGATTCATAAACTTTTGCCATTGTGATAATATATTTCAAATATCAATAGAAATTGATAGCAAACATTGTTGTGGTTTTCAATTTTAACCGAGTTTCTTTCAAAAAATACTGTAACAAGTAAGAAATGCACAGAGCTTTAATATCGTTTCATCCCTATTAAACACTGATGATATAAAATGTAATGAGGTCTGCTACCAGGTGTGCCAAAGGATGGGGAATTCTAATACTATGTAACTTTTTATGTTAAGGATGGTGGTGTCACATTTTGGAGTAAAACTGAACGTGGTATAAAAGCAGAGCTGCGATTACAGCATCATCCTTATGACACGGAATCCTGGGGAGTTCTGATTAGAGAGGCACAGGTAGAGTTAAAAGTACATTAAGTTTTAGAAAGGCAAACTGTAAGAAGAATGTATTGCTGCATTGTTCGAAAGCCAGTTAACACTAACTCAGTATTAAAAGGTAATAAAAGTATTAATTTTTCTTGCATGAATGTTTTTTTGACTGCTTATGTTTTGTGTAGCTTGAGGTAACTTAAGCTCAAAAACTGAAGGACAAACAATATAAACAGAAAACCTCACTAATCCTGGACTTGCTTGTCAGGCTTTGAACAACCTGACCCGGATTTGGTTGTTTTTGTTTTGTTTTTCTTTTACCTGTGTAGAGTCTCTTACAGTGAGACCGAAAAGTAATTTGCAAGAACCTTTAGATTTGAAGACATGATTAATCATAGCAGTTATACACACAACTTAAGCAGTTGTGAAACTAAAGCCTGAAAAACATTCAGGCCTGAACGGGATTCGAACCCATGACCTCTGCGACACCAGTGTAGTGCTCTACCAACTGAGCTATCAAGCCAACTGGGAGATGGCCACATTGTGAGTTTGTAATATACCCATAGATGTTGAAGAATACAAATGAATATATGAAAATTCATACGTTTGAACTGAGGAGAATGATATGAAGACATGATTGATGATCGCAGTTATACACACAACTTAAGCAGTTGTGAAAGTTGTGTATATATTTGCGATGATCAATCATGTCTTCTTATCATTCCCCGCAGTTCAGATATATGAACTTTCACATAGTCATTTGTAACCTTTAGATTTGTTCTGCCAGTTTTACAGTCTGATGGCATAAAACATTCTAATGCAATTTCTGCACAGGAGAAGAAAGCAAAAGGAAATGTTATAGCAAAACATCATGTTATAGCGTTTAGTTTTCTTTCAACTCATTTTAGTGCTAATTAAACTTAGTCTTTTCCCTTTATCTTATTCATCAAGTTCATATTTGTAACTTGTGAATATATTTACATGCTGAAGGTGTTTTTCATGGGGGTTGTGTGTTATGTATAGAAGTATTATTACCCAGCCTGTATTGAAAACCAGGAATTCTTATGATAATGGAACTAACATGTAGTAATGCAGTAATAAAGGAAATGTTAAGCAAATTCTAGAAATTGATAAAAACTAAATGTTGCAACAAATTGTTCTTCCAAAATCGCAAAATTAAGGCATTGCAAATATTTCGATATATTATATAAATAATATTCACATTGATGGTAAACCCTCGTGAATTATGATGTATAAATAAATTTTGTATAGTAAGGTTGTCATACTGAAATCCTTCATCTATTGACAGTCTTTGTTTTTATCCTTTTAGAATACGCCATTAGAAACTTCTAGAGTGCTCTGTGAAAAGCTTGTAAGACGATTCCCTAATGCTGGCCGTTACTGGAGATTGTACATTGAGCAAGAGGTTTTTAGAATTTGTAGTCTATTTAACATTTGTACTGGTTCTATCAGTGTTACGATTTAAGTCTCCGCTCTCGGACTGGCTGTGTGTCTTTGAAGTCCATTCTTAACTAACATGTATTTTTAGGCCATTTTATACAGGCACCTTTTTGTGATTGGGAAGCGATTTCAAAGGGTATTTTAAGGTGACCTTGAATTGTTGGTGTAAATGACTAGTGATTTCTTTGAAATTTTCCAAAATTTCTGAAATTGCTGGTCAGTTTTCTCACTTATCACCATATTACTCTTGAATGTGCTACTCGATAGCAATAGTTCTGCATAAACAGGCCTTGGTAAAGACAGATTTGAAAGACACCCATTTAACTCAAAATTATTGTTGGAGAGACTACTGAAGGTGAAAGTCATAGGTAAAGTAAAATTAATTATTAATTAAATTCTACTACACATCAAAATCAAGGTCCAAGGTAGGCAGTTAAAAGGTTATCTTAATGTAGTGTTAGTTGTAAATCGACACCGAACATAGCCTTTTAGAATTTTGGTTCACTAGAGACAATGAAATGCTATGTTGGTTTGCCCTTTTAAGGGCCTAATAAATGGGATTTTTGAAGCTTGTGTCCTTTCTAACACTAAACAGAGATTGACTCTTAAACTGGTTGTGCTGTGTTTACATTGTGTGCAGTCTGGTTACTTCTGTCTCGAGTTTGAGTTATTTGTATTGGTGTCCAAAAGTAGATGATATTGTGAGCAATACCTTGCCAATCTATCTCCGATATCCCTGTCTATTTAAATGCTAATAAATATCCCCACATCCCTTCACCTTAAAACTACACTAAAGGAATTTTGCAGGAAGATATATAATTCTTTTCAGTTGTGTGGTGAGGAGGTTACCTACATTATCAAAACATTAAGTTTCTCATGTTACCATGCACTTCCTGTCATGTTATTTTTTTGGTGATATTAGAATGATGTTGACATACCCTGCGTACAAACATCAGTGTGTTAGACATATCTGATTTCTTTTTTTGCAAGTTTGTGAATTGCATTTTTGAAAGTATATATGATATCAGAAGACTCATAATTATGACTTTTTATGGTCTTTTCACCAACCCTTAAGCCAAACAAGTGCTTTTCACTTCTTTGGAAGGACAATATGTACTTTTAAAACATCTAAATCTGCCTCTCTTCGCCTCCTGAGGACACCCTCTGGCTAAAGACGTGCTCACCTTGATACTTTTTTAGGTCTGCATTCAAATCTTGAAAATAGGATCTCAAATTTCACAATAATTTTATTAATGTGGGGATCACGGCAAATCTGTGTGTTAAGTACGGAAATAATTTTTGTTTGAGACTGTGAAAAAGGAGACTCTGATTTTACTTGACCCTGATTGAGTTACCAACAAAGATGCAGTAATTGGAATTTAAAACCCTCTCATATTAGGAGTTTCCCAGCAGCCCACTCCTTGTACAATAATCTATTAAAAAATCCTTGGCCTCCCAACCAATGACACTTCTGACTTCAAAAATGTTTACTTTCCTCACACTTAAGGTAGAAACTTTCTCAGTGGAACACATGTGAAAGAACAAATTTACAAAAGAAAGTAAAGACAAGGTGCAAAAAGAAACACATTTTTAATTCTTGGCACATCCTAGAGGAAATGTCAAAAGAGGAGAATGTTGTTTTTATCTTAATGGAATTTTTTAACAATGACGTCATCAAAGAGTTCCCTGTAGTGAGGTTTACAGCAACATTTCTTCCCAGATGTCATGGATGGTAACCAGAAGTAAAGTGTATATTTTTATTGGCATGGTTTTGCCCATCGCCTTCAATGTAGTTTTGATGTCTGAAGTTTAACATAACAGACATGATGCTGTCAAAATGTGCCAATTTAAGGAGTCATGTTACTTCTGTTTCCCATCCTTACATCAGTAGGGCTGTCATTGTAAGGTTTGATGCACCTGTGGCCTTGTTGCTATATATAGGGGTGAACTGTACCAACTACTGGCAATTTCACTTGTAATATCAAGGGCCCAGCGAACCAACTCAGCCATATTGGGTTCTATGGGTTAGGGCCCTTATTGACAGCCCTGATCAGTGATCCATCAAGTCTCCTGAGAAAAATGAAGCAACAACTAGTAGTAAGGTGCATTGTTTCGTGAAAAGCTGAATTATTGAGTGGTAATTTGAAGTTGGCTCAAAATATGCATTTCTCTGTTCATTTCATTACATTTCTTGCAAAATATGGCATGTAGTTATGGGAATTCAGAATGAGTGTCAATCTACATCCACTAGACTAGATCTTGTTACCCATATGGCAGCCATATTGAATAAATTATTTTCAAGCAAATTATGGGATTCTCTCACCCTAAACCCTGAGATTTCGAACATAAGCTGGAAGTATGAATGGTTCTAATGTTTCAGCCCTCTAATGGGACAGGAATGATTATCATACTCTTGTACACATTGTGGCTTTTTCTCTACATGGACCCTCTCAAAGTCATTCAGTAATATATTAATGTTTCCTTTCTGATGCAGGATTAAATGGTTTCTTCCATTTCAATAGTTTTATGGTAATTTTATGGCCAGTTTGTTTCATTTGCACCTTCCCTAGTGCTGAAAAGATGAGCAAGATAAAGATCCATTTACTGCTAGTTAGAGGTCAACCTCTAGTTGCCCAAATTTTTTCTGCGTAGCACAGGGATTTCATAAGAGCCAGGCACCAGGCAAATTGACCAGTTGTGAGGACTATTTTGCTTGCCTGGTTTGAAATCTAGAGGAAAGGTTTTCTTATATTAGAAGTTTAGTTTGAGTAGTTTTGCCTGCCTGTGAAAAACGTTTTGCCCTCCTTCAAATGCATGACAGGTTCTGTGCCATATGTCCCATTATGCAAGCCTGCAAACCTTTGCCCCCTGGGAATGTCACAATATATTCAGTATGGCTGCTGTATCTGTAAAAAGGTCTGTTAGGTATGTACCTGTTGGTCACTCTTGGGGGTAAAACCACTTGAAAGAAACCTGCTGTGGGTAAAGAATCAAAACACCAACATTTGTGGTATTGTGGCCTCCTAGAAAGAGGTTGTCTTAAAAACTTGCAAGCAGGCATAATGGTCATTTGTCTGTTGGCCAACTCTCACCCAAAAAAAAAAAAAAAAAAAAANGAGTGATTAACACCAGCCAATTTATTACAATATCAACAAATTTTCAAGCAGATGTGTGATAAGCAGGGTTTATTTTGTGGATATGCTATTATTATCAGTCACAAACAAAGGACAATTCCTGGCAGTCAGTAAGGGAATTGAAATGTTGATCTTGGGGCTGAATGGTTTACATTCTAGCAAGCATGAAATGCTTGTGAAACTCAAAGGCTTTCTTGGGCATCATTCACAGATTTAGATAACGTGCTCATGAAATTGATAAGATAAGATATTAATGCTAATTCACCCAGCGACTTCAAAACCAGTGAAAACTGGTCTCAAGGAAACTTGGTCCTGGTACCACTTGTGATGCTGCTTGTCTTTCGTGCTGTCTACCAACTATGTTCATACCAGTGTTACACTAAAATCAAAACTATTGTCTCCAAAACTAATGGACTGATTACATGAATGGCATGGAATTTGAAAAGCTCTCTGGTAGAAAACCTTAGCCTCCCTATGTTTCCATATGAAAGATTCTTCTCATCAGGGCAAGACTAAGATTTTCTAGTGTATTGTTATTCAAATTTGGTGCTTTTGATCCAGTCAGCCTATTGGGATTCCTGTGTCAATCAGCATCAAGCTATAATAGTTTTAATCAAAGTGCTCTGTGAGCAACTGCATGAATTTCCCAGTGAACTGACGACTCTTTTTGTCTCAGTCTCCTATGAACAGTGAAACTGATTTGTACACCTGTAGAGACTAGTGTGAAAGTTGTACTGGTCTCCTTGAATCACCCACCACTTGAGTGAAGCATTCAGAAATTATTTGGATCAAGATGTGTAGTATCACTTACTATTCAGGACCTTTAGAATGAATTTTTGTGGTTGATTTTCTTTCAGATGAAACATAAGAACTATGAGCAAGTAGAAAAGGTAATTGAAATAGTTGTTTGATTGCTTTTGGCCATTCCATAGGAAAAACGGCAAATATTTTGTAATAAATAATTTAACTTGTAGATATATTCCACATAATTCTCCAACAAATTTCTTTTTAAGATTTAAGTTGTACTTCAAAACATGCTCTCTTGTCTCATAAATTGTCCAAAGGGGTTGGAATTATTTTTTTCTACAAGATGAGGTTACATACTTGAATGAGGTACATCCAGGTGTTACATCCAGCAAAAATAAGGGCTGCCTTAACATTGCTTTTGTTTCTTTCATTGACTTGTAAAAGCATTAGACAAGTCTTTCAATTGTTTGTTGGCATTGAAACAACAATCCCTTAAAGAACACTATCATGTACACCAAAAGGCGCTGTCGAGTCTGTGATATTAAGGCTAACCTGAGCGCTACTTAGGCTAACCTGTGTGCTATTTAGGCCAACCCCAGTGGCATTTGGTCATTTCGTGTTTTAAATGCCTGAAAAGAACTCAATCTTCTGCTTTGACCTCATTCTTCACCGTAACTTTTTAATGGACATAGTGATGATAACTGATGTAACTTGTTAAATAGCTGTTTTATTGTATTTAACAAAATGACTGTTGCTGGTGTGCATAACGCAAGATTTGTATTGTCTTTTGACTTCTATTATTTCAGCTTTTCCAGAAATGCTTGATCAAGGTGTTAAACATTGATCTTTGGAAGTGTTACCTGTCATATGTAAAGGAAACAAAAAGTTCCCTCCAAAATTTTAGGTAGGCCTACTTTGCTAATTAATTGAGAATTACTACCAGGGTGATTGTGGAAAAAATCACTCCCTAACAGTAATCAATAAGCGTAGAAAATGAGGTGTTCTCACATAAGAATTTACTTTGCTGAGCAACAATATAATGTTGCTATATTCACAGACTTTCAAAGAGCTGAGCCAGTATTACAGACCTTTTGGGTCTAATCTTAGCCACTGCTAGATCCAAAAAGGGATAGCTTATATGTGAGCAAAGACATAAGTAATCACATCTGGACACCATTATAAGTAGTCAATCACATCCCTCGTTGTTGCAATCCTTTTTGTCAACAGCAAGAATAAGTACCTGATAGGCCTGTTTAAATTCACAGACTTCCTCTCAAATCTATTTGGCTATCAACTGAATTGAGTACCCTGTACTTGCAAAGAAAATCTGTACCAACTACAGTTTTGTCATTTAATGATCAGTAACCTCCTGTACAGATGCTCTTGCAGTCTTTCCCCTCCCATGTGGGAAGGAAAAAAAACAATAAGCCCAAGGAGTGCCTGTTGTGTTTGTTTGAATGTGACAGGATATCAAGTTAACCTATGATTCATATCAAGATATATTTTCATATGTCAGGACTGTTCTATACAATCAGAATTGCAAATCCTTTGTTAATTTTTTCTTCGATACTGTCAGATTTGAAGCGTTCTGCTCATGATCCTCTTAGTGGTAGTGATACCAAAAGCATTAGCTCTTATCAGTTGTTTCTGTTGATACTGCACAGGGATAGTACACCTCTGATAGGTTGCTCCATATTATAAGTACCGTAAAGAGATCTTTACTATAAAAATTATTTTAAAGTGTGTATGACATGAAAAATAATTTCTGCTTATTTGAAAAGCCTTTCAAAATACAAAAGAATGGTGTTTTTCTTTTTGAAATATCTTTTTTGGTTTTAGAGATATTGGTGTTAGATCAGTGATGACATCATAAGGTTTGCGACTTAAAAAGTGGTAAAATACTGAATAAACGATATCTCTGGAAATATTGAAGCAGTGTTCTTGAAACTTGGCACCACAAATAAATGTGCATCAAAAAAGAAACAAAACGTCACCCTTGGTGCTATTGCAACAAAAACTGAAATTCCCAGTTTTTGTCTTAAACCAAGAACCATGATCTACCCCACCCAATCTAATGATGGGAGTTAAGACAATATGGGAACTATGTCTGTTCCAAGTAGGGCCAGTTTGTCTCACTTTAGAGGTTGCAAATGGGGTTATTTGGTTTTTTTTTTTAACAGAAAGAGATGAAAGAGTTGCTATGGCAACAGTACTAAGGGTGTCATTTTGTTTCTTTTGTGATGCACATTTGTGCTGCAAGTTTCAAGAACACTGGTTCAATATTTCTAGAGATATTGTTTATTCAGTATTTTACCATTTTTTATTTGCAAACAATATGACGTCATAAAGGATGGAAGACCCAAATATGAACAAGAAGATCTGTTAGATCTTATGACCGCACTTTTAAAATTTAACTGTTTTCTTATCACTACAGTCGCAATGCAGTCCACATTCAAAGGCAGTCCTTGATGATTCTTTTGTTACTGTAGACACCACATCACTTGATCAACACAAACTGTATTATTGCACCATCAGTCGTAATCATAGCCGTTGTGAAATCTCCGATAACATAATGTTCTTAATCTGAAACTTTCTTCAGAATGTGTATGGGCATGAACGATACGAATGCAACAATAATAACACTATTAGAGCAGTTTTCATTTGAGTGTGGAAAGTAATTAGACAATTACTTTGGTTTTGGTTTTGGTTTTACTTCGGTTTGAGATTGGCTGAGTTGTCTAATTGGTAAGTAATTGGTTTGGTTTTGGTTTTATGACACTCGATTGAAAACCGCTCTAAAAGTCATGATTAAATTTAATTGGTTTTTCAATGAGTAAAGGGCTAGCAAACTAGTCACACTAGTCACATAATACAAGAATTACATTATTCACGGCTATCTTTAGTATGGTGGTTATTTCCCTTCCAATGACGTAATCCTTGCATGTTCTGACATGTTCTTTGCTTGGCTTGCAAATATTTAATTTTCCTTCCAATCTATGAACTCGCTGCGATGAAACAGCCAAAGAATTTACTTCATTTGCCTAAAACCACAAGAAATACTCGCAAAATTGCAAATAAATTAATGACCGTTGCTTCTGGCGAAATAAATGTGCAAAGTAAACACGACCTTATTTGTCACCTAACGAAAGTGAGAGCAGCAACATCAGCGCATTCCATGGCTGACGTAATACCTTTTTTAGTGTATTTATTATTCCCTTGGAATCCAATGCTTCGATAAAACCCAAAAAATGAAAAACTAAATTGTTAAATTCGTTTATAACTTCAGACGGAGTGCGTATCACCGAGCTAGGGTATATCAGTTATGGAAAAAGAATTGCTTTTATAATATTAACCTTGCCAGGAATCGACAAACCCCTTGACTTCCATAAATTTATTGCCTTTACTTAAAATTTTTCTCGACTAGTATCTGTACATCATGTGTAATGAAAATTCCTAAAAACTTAACAGAAGTTTTCAGTTTGACTCCAAGTGGTTCATTTTCACAGTTCTGGAGGGAGTTGATCCACATTGCTTCTGTTTTCGCAATGTTAAGTTTTAGTCCANCTTCCAATCTATGAACTCGCTGCGATGAAACAGCCAAAGAATTTACTTCATTTGCCTAAAACCACAAGAAATACTCGCAAAATTGCAAATAAATTAATGGCTGTCGCTTCTGCCGAAATAAACTTGCAAAGTAAACATGATCTTATTTGTCAAGTACCAAAAGTGAAAGCTGCAACGTCAACGCATTCCATTGCTGACGTAATACCTTTTTTTAGCGTATTTATTATTCCCTTTGAATCCAACGCTTGAATAAAACCAAAAGAAAATATATTTCAACCACAACAAAGAAAATAATATCCGAAAAACATCACACGTTGCGTGACTCAGAATTTGGTCGAGAGGGAGCCTTGGTCTGGTCACCGAAAAAAAATAATAAACCACGGGTAGAACATGAACCACACTCGGCCCATGGCCGCGCGGTTAAAAATAAAAAAAATAAACCAAGAGTAAACCATGAACCGCGCTCGGCCTATGGCCGCGCGGTTAAAAATGAAAAGTATAACTGATAGCTACCTCTTGTCGTTCCTTGCGATGCGCCGTCCGCTTGCAATGCGTGCCTTTACAAGGGCCTTCCGTTGAAAAATTGTCGGAAAGCATTTTTCAATGACCTACTTCTTGTGTTTCCATCCACAAGCTCAAATCGGCATTCAGTTTTGAAACAGTTGTCTGTGAAATGCTCGTTGCACACATACACATTTTTGAGTTTTTTTGGCATGAATCTCTCATCCCGACGTAGCTGTTCGAACCACTTCTTTGGC